GTGTGACATGGCATCAAATCAAACACTTATTAGAAGTACATTATTATCAAAAATAATATTTAATTTGATATCACATCACCGAGATTCACATGTTTTTTTCTATTTTTATCCAACTATTACCAAACATGAAATAAGATAAATATATATCATATTTTTATCCAATACCAAAAACTCAATTATGATCTTACCAAAACAACCCAATCCTAAATTATAAAACTTAACAACCGCCCAGTAAGGCCTTGAGCTTAATGATAGTTTATTTTGGGAAAATTTATAAGTCGGCCCTTTTTGTAGACTTACTTAGTAATAAGTCCATCAAAAAAATTTATTTAATATTAAATCCACTTTGATATTCATTGTCCAAAATACCCCTATTAGTTATTTAGCATTTAAATTCAAGCAGATAGTTGATCTCTAATAATAAGCCTTCATAGGGGGTGCTTGAGAATATGTATTAGTTTGTCTCTTGGGTTTAGCATACCCAATTTTATTTATTTCTTCGGACTGCATTTGATGTAAAGAATCTTCAAATTTTTGTATTTCAATTTCAAATTACTCTACACTTTTTGTCTGAGAAATTATATTTAATGATAAATTTTTTAATTTATTTTTAAGTTCGTTTATGAACTCATCTTCAACTTTATTATGAAGATTAAACGTTGATGTGTCAACTGGTGATTTAATATTAACTGTTTCAATTTCAACCGATTTTTCTTTTAAAAACGAAGAAGACAAAACTTCTTGTTTTTGTTCTTTTATTAAATTCTCAATTCTACTCAAATGTTGTCCTACCACTTGTAGAAAAACATTTCCTATATCATTAGTGTCTTTTAGCAAATAACAAGGATTCATTATTATTTCAACTAACTCATTTGAATTTGAAACTATCCAATATTTTTCATTTATGTTGAAATTTTTTGATCACATTTAATTGATCCATTGTGGGTAGAGCATAATAGGTTAAAAACCATTTAACAAAAAGAATTATCTTTTTTTCCCATTCTATATATAAGTAAAACATTTCTTTATATCTTTTAAGACTCTCTTGGTTCATAGTCTTAAAATGCCAAGTTTTAAATTCTTCATATTTAGAAAGATAAAATTCTTCATTAATTTGTTTTTTATTTATTATAAATTCTTTTAGATTTAAATCTATAAAAATTTATAGTTAAAATCTGATTTCAAATAGAGTTGGATCTTGATCTTCCTTTAAGGAAGATTTATTATCTTGTCTATATACTCCATGTGAAATATGATTATGTGAGGTTCTAACTCCCTCAATTATCGGTTTTTTTCCCCTTCTTCTATCTGGTATAGAAGAAATGCATCTCCTACTAGGAGTATAGACTGATGAAGTGCTTCACTTATTGAAAATTTTTAATCGCGAAAAATTATTTCTAGCAAATCTTATCATTACATCACCCTGAGATGATTGGACTATGTGTGTTACTTTTTCATTTATTTCTGATTTTTTAGAAATCACGGATTCTAATTGTCGTGTTTCTAAAAATTGGATTTCTGACAATTTAATAGTTTTAAGAATTTCAAATTTATTTTTAATCATATTGGTTTCAATTAAAGTAGTTTGACCTTTATGGTTATGTAGTTTAGCTTCTGGAGATAGAGTATTCATTACTTTATAATATACTCTATAAGTAAAAATCATTATATATGTTCCTATTAAAACTTATGGATATAATTTTAAGGAACAGATATAATGACTTTTACCTAGAGAGTATATTATAAAGTAATGAGTATTCTATCTCCAGAAGCTAAACTACATATAGTAACATTTAAAAAAAAAAGTAATATTTAAACACAAAAAATAGTACCATTCAAACAAAAAAATAGTACCATTTAAACAAAAAAAAAAGTAACATTTAAACACAAAAAAATAATAAATATTCAAAAATAAAAAAATAATAACATTGAGTGTTAATATTTTCAAAAATAACAATAATAACATGATCAAAAAAAACAACAATGAACAATAATATGCCCAACAAAAATAGAAATATACTCACAAAAATAAAAACATGAACAATAATATGAATATATATACATATATATATATATAGAGAGAGAGAGAGAGAGTATCAATTATTCTTTGAATTTGAATTTAAATTTTAAATTTATATAAAAAAATTTATTAACATAACTTCATTGATAGTGAAATTAAAGATAATAATTCTAAATTTAAAAAATTAATTTAAAATTACTTTCAAAGAAAGGTATAATAAAATTTTTAAAAAATAGTTATCTTAACTACTTATTAATAAGATTAAAAGCGAACTTATGCCTAAATAACTATTTTTGACAAACTAAACTCGTTATAAATCTCTTAAGGAGGACTCGACCCTAATTTTCACTTTATTTTGTTCTTCTCCAATCTTCTCCAATCGAGAATGCCTCTAAGCTTATTGATGCGAGGCCATAGAAACACCATTTGCTAAAATCATAAATGGTCTTACCTTGTTCATTTCTTAGAAGCAAAAAGCAATACCAGACAAAAATTAAACTGCAATGAAAGTGGATGCGAATATTCATAACTTCATATCAAGAATCAGCACTCTGTAAAGAGAGAGGGCACCCAAATTTACCTTGGATGGGAGCCACATCCTCCCGNGAAGACAAAACTTCTTGTTTTTGTTCTTTTATTAAATTCTGAATTCTACTCAAATGTTGTCCTACCACTTGTAGAAAAACATTGGTGTAATTATTTTGTTTGATAGAGATATTCTTTCCTATATCATTAGTGTCTTTTAGCAAATAACAAGGATTCATTATTATTTCAACTAACTCATTTGAATTTGAAACTATCCAATATTTTTCATTTATGTTGAAATTTTTTGATCACATTTAATTGATCCATTGTGGGTAGAGCATAATAGGTTAAAAACCATTTAACAAAAAGAATTATCTTTTTTTCCCATTCTATATATAAGTAAAACATTTCTTTATATCTTTTAAGACTCTCTTGGTTCATAGTCTTAAAATGCCAAGTTTTAAATTCTTCATATTTAGAAAGATAAAATTCTTCATTAATTTGTTTTTTATTTATTATAAATTCTTTTAGATTTAAATCTATAAAAATTTATAGTTAAAATCTGATTTCAAATAGAGTTGGATCTTGATCTTCCTTTAAGGAAGATTTATTATCTTGTCTATATACTCCATGTGAAATATAATTATGTGAGGTTCTAACTCCCTCAATTATAGGTTTTTCCCCCTTCTTCTATCTGGTATAGAAGAAATGGATCTCCTACTAGGAGTATAGACTGCTGAAGTGCTTGACTTATTGAAAATTTTTAATCGCGAAAAATTATTTCTAGCAAATCTTATCATTACATCACCCTGAGATGATTGTACTATGTGTGTTACTTTTTCATTTATTTCTAATTTTTTAGGAATCACAGATTCTAATTGTCATGTTTCTAAAAATTGGATTTCTGACAATTTAATAGTTTTAAGAATTTCAAATTTATTTTTAATCATATTGGTTTCAATTAAAGTAGTTTGACCTTTATGGTTATGTAGTTTAGCTTCTGGAGATAGAGTATTCATTACTTTATAATATACTCTATAAGTAAAAATCATTATATATGTTCCTATTAAAACTTATGGATATAATTTTAAGGAATAGATATAATGACTTTTACCTAGAGAGTATATTATAAAGTAATGAGTATTCTATCTCCAGAAGCTAAACTACATATAGTAACATTTTAAAAAAAAAAAAAGTAATATTTAAACACAAAAAATAGTACCATTCAAACAAAAAAATAGTACCATTTAAACAAAAAAAAAAGTAACATTTAAACACAAAAAAATAATAAATATTCAAAAATAAAAAAATAATAACATTGAGTGTTAATATTTTCAAAAATAACAATAATAACATGATCAAAAAAAACAACAATGAACAATAATATGCCCAACAAAAATAGAAATATACTCACAAAAATAAAAACATGAACAATAATATGAATATATATACATATATATATATATAGAGAGAGAGAGAGAGAGTATCAATTATTCTTTGAATTTGAATTTAAATTTTAAATTTATATAAAAAAATTTATTAACATAACTTCATTGATAGTGAAATTAAAGATAATAATTCTAAATTTAAAAAATTAATTTAAAATTACTTTCAAAGAAAGGTATAATAAAATTTTTAAAAAATAGTTATCTTAACTACTTATTAATAAGATTAAAAACGAACTTATGCCTAAATAACTATTTTTGACAAACTAAACTCGTTATAAATCTCTTAAGGAGGACTCGACCCTAATTTTCACTTTATTTTGTTCTTCTCCAATCTTCTCCAATCGAGAATGCCTCTAAGCTTATTGATGCGAGGCCATAGAAACACCATTTGCTAAAATCATAAATGGTCTTACCTTGTTCATTTCTTAGAAGCAAAAAGCAATACCAGACAAAAATTAAACTGCAATGAAAGTGGATGCGAATATTCATAACTTCATATCAAGAATCAGCACTCTGTAAAGAGAGAGGGCACCCAAATTTACCTTGGATGGGAGCCACATCCTCCCGACTATATGTTATAGCAAGCTCGTCAAATCGGTAAGGAAAAGAAGTCATCCAATTATATGTACCTTTGGAAAATCTTATTTTCAGCGCAAGTACTTGCAATTAGCAAGGCTCCATATTTCAGAAATACATAAACATGCACACGATCAGACAGACATGTCGAATAAAGAATGGAGGACACAGGAGACATAAGCTGAACTTACACGGCACAAAGCTACACCATGTACTTCCATGCGAATCCAAGGTTGACAAGGTCAAGACAACTAGCGTGCATTAACACCAATCATGCCATAATACTAAGGCCACAAGCAATTTTTTTAACAAATATGCAAGACACAACAGAGCAGAATAGAAATATTCAGTTCATTTCAAACGGCTATGAATATATCATCCAAAGGAAATTCTAAGTTTAGGACACCCCATTCAGGAGCAGAGTAGGGTACTCAGTAGCGGTACTTAGTGGAGTAGTCCTTGGGTGCTATAACTAGACCACGACCCTTCCTTGCACCACGGTAGACAGTCTCAATAATGTCAATGAACTCTTGTTTATCCTTGAGAGCCCAGTTGATCTTGTTGTTGTTTCCGGTGCCAAGATCAATCATAATGTGCTTGTTCCTGAAGAAGAACATAACTGTGGATGGGTCATACAACTCATACATAGTGTTGAAGTCAGGCACTTCAGTGATGTCCACCAGGTAAATCACTGCAAAGTTCTTTATTGTCTCGGCAACTGAAGCCAGCACCTCATCCATCTATTCCGCAAACAAAATAACCAGTCAACATAATGGGAAAACAGAGTTTAGTTGACATAAATAAACAGTACAGGTCGAGCTATTAAGGTTACAAGAAAATCCAACAAAGATGCAGGTTATCAAATTCGTTATGAAGAGAAATGACTAGCACAGAGAAGCATTCGTTCTGCAAAGCTTTTACTCATATATGCACAGGTGAATTAATGCAAGTGAGTAAATACCAAAATTCATATTCACGTCTTTCTTAAAAACACAAGGAAATGACANGGAGTAGTCCTTGGGTGCTATAACTAGACCACGACCCTTCCTTGCACCACGGTAGACAGTCTCAATAATGTCAATGAACTCTTGTTTATCCTTGAGAGCCCAGTTGATCTTGTTGTTGTTTCCGGTGCCAAGATCAATCATAATGTGCTTGTTCCTGAAGAAGAACATAACTGTGGATGGGTCATACAACTCATACATAGTGTTGAAGTCAGGCACTTCAGTGATGTCCACCAGGTAAATCACTGCAAAGTTCTTTATTGTCTCGGCAACTGAAGCCAGCACCTCATCCATCTATTCCGCAAACAAAATAACCAGTCAACATAATGGGAAAACAGAGTTTAGTTGACATAAATAAACAGTACAGGTCGAGCTATTAAGGTTACAAGAAAATCCAACAAAGATGCAGGTTATCAAATTCGTTATGAAGAGAAATGACTAGCACAGAGAAGCATTCGTTCTGCAAAGCTTTTACTCATATATGCACAGGTGAATTAATGCGAGTAAATACCAAAATTCATATTCACGTCTTTCTTAAAAACACAAGGAAATGACAAAAAAAAAATGCATGAAACAATTTCTGATCCAACTCCATAGTTTTCAGATGAAATCTGCTAGAGATGGTACTCTTCCTTTTCGCCTCCTATTATTTGGCCAATGTCAATGAGTACGCTTTCTTCATGCAGTAATGAGCAAGAAATACTAGTCATGATCTGATATCATAATACATTTAATGTTTCATAGAATGAAAGAAAGAAGATGAAAAAAAAAGGAGATAGAGTGTGACTGAAGATACTGATTAGGATTCTCTCTCTTGTACTACATTATTTTTACCAACTTTGTTACAAAGACAAAAATAATAATGTTTAGGGCATGCAGGGTCATCGCTTCTACCGACATTGACTATGTTAATGTTCTGTTTCTGGTTTAATAGCTGTTTTTGCCACATGATGCTTTTGTTCTCTTCTGGGCTCAACCTAGTCTGTACTTTAGTGTTGGTTTTCTTTTTTTTTGAACAGGTTGTATGTTCTTCTCCCTAAATATGCGAGTTGGTAGACAAAGAAATTTCAACAATATAAACAGGTGAATGAACACAAGTGTGAGTAAAATGCGATGAAAGAGTCCTCCCGGGAAACATGAATGGAAAGTCTTGATTTGTGAAAGCGAAAAGTTAGACTAAATTAACAATGTCAAACAAGAAGGGGAAAGGAAGAAAAGGGGAAACGAGGGGGGGAGGGGGGGGGAGATGCGTTTGAGAGGCCAGCAACGGTGCAGGACACACCAGCTATGCCAACATACTGAACCAGAATTTCAGTATATGGTAAAGACCATAGGCAATTAAGATCGGTCAATCATAAGATATAACCAAGCCATGCAGGAGAAATCATCAACAAAGATTACAAAATACTGAAAAACCATAAATCCTTTCGACTCTTGTAGGACCCCAAATATCTGTATAAACAACATGAAATGTTTGCCTAATTAACAAGTCTCACATTCTAACAAAGAATAAGAACTCAAACCAGGGAGAACTTGACGCAACTTTTGCAAGAAAGGATGACTGATTCAAAAGTGCCACTGAAGAGGGGACACAGTAGCACTCAAGGCTGGAATAAAAACACCAAGATCTAAGTAGTATAGGCTATTGTGCTCATGCCCCAAAGCAATCATCTTCTTCGTTTTTGAGGTCCTAAAAAACACATAAGAAGGGAAAGAATGTTACAGAATACTGTAATGACTTAATTAATTGACTCACAGACAAATTAAAAAGAAAATTAGGAGCAAACAAACCAGAAGTTTATGACATAAATTGAGTAGGATGGAGATCGTCGGTCCCACGTACAAGTCTAAGGAACCATAAGCTAATACAATACGTGAGTTAGACGAGTGAAATTTAGAGGAAAGGGAGGAAATACCAGACATATGAGCACTAGCTCCTAAGTCAATGATCCAATAGGACGAAGGAGATTGAGCAAACCACACATAAAAAGTTACCTCCATCAGCAAGATCAGTAATAGGAGCAGATAAATGGGAAGAAAGTGAAGATAACAATTGGTTGGGCTGACAAAGCTGAAAAGAAAGATCTTTGGACCATTGGTAGAAATCTGATGCAGAGGACCTAGAGTATCCTTAAAGCCCTGATTAGCATATGTTGGTCTGTCATACTTATCCCAACAATAATCTGCAGTATTGTATATGCGACCACAATAAGTACACTGCCACATAGATCGACCACCACATTGCGTCTTGTCCATAGCCCACCATTGAAAATCGTCATTGAGAAACCCACAAGGGTCAGCAATCACACAAGCTAAAGTCACAAACCACACACCACAACTGAGAATACCCAAATCAACATCAAGAGTGCAAAATCACAACTTAAAATGCAAATCTGGGTCAAGAACACTCACTAAAATTGTAGAAAGCACGCTACTAAATCAAGCAACGCCACAGGATCTCAAAAACATGAACAAGAAGTCAAACATATGGCAGAAACAAAAGCTATAGCTGTTCCTTGCACTGTACAGGAAGTTGGAAAAGCAGTCGAGGCGTAAAAATCTCACAAAATCGAACTTGAACCATACAAAGAAGGGCTGAACCAGGTTGAATCCGATAGAATCAGCACTGGAATATACTAAACCAGACTGAAATTCACTCAACCGAAGCTAGAATACACTGAACCGGAGTAAACCGACCCTGGGATATACTGAACTGGCCCAACAACACAAGAAACTAGTGCTGGAATACTGCCTGGAAGTGGATCAGACCAAAAAAGGAGAAGAAAAAGACGAACAGAAGCAACATACCTGAACCGGTCTGATACAAAGGTGAAATTATCTGAACCAGTTTGGTCTATAGATCTAAACCAGTCTGTGGATGAACCAGTTGGCCAGTAACCGGGTTCTGGGTGAGAACTAAGGTGGACCTCCAATGTAATCGGCTCGTACAAAAAAAAAAGGTTTGGGGCCTTTGGGCTTAAAATAGTCTGAACCGAACCTGATCCATGGATTTGAAGTCTTGCCCAATAGTTTGTCTTCTCCGTCGACGCTTCAAACGCCAGACACCTAGCACACACTGTGCATGCAAACAACACACCAAGGATCCACCACAATTACAACAACACACCAGCGATCCATGATGACTACCACTGTCAGTAATTCAAGCAACAGCCATCCCTAGGAAAAATTCCAACAACTAATGAAGTTATAGCCATGGAAGAATAGCAGAGAAATGCAGCAAACAGCTCAACGAGAGCTCAGCTGCAACTTCGATTGATTTCGATGAATTTGATGACTAGAAAACACGCAGAACCAAACAACAACCTAAACGCTGCAACAAACGCATTTTTTTTCCAATACAACCCTGTGTTGCGTCAACCATAATGTCAAAGCACTTATATCATTCCATAAGAGCTTCATGATCAGTCCAACGAAAAACCAACCCAATTTGAGAACCTCCATTGGGATTCTGTAAAAGAGAAAGAGACGAGGCAAAAACCAAAAACAAGGGGGGGGGGGAAGGGAAATAAAAGGATAAATCTAAACCCTAATTAATTTGCTCAGATACCAACCTAAAGGAACTGGACCCAACTTAAAAACACTTGAATGTGAAACAATAGGAAAATGACCTGAAACAACTCTAACTAGTGCGTCTTGTCTCACATTTGGAAAACACTCCTCCCACTCCAATGAGAATAATATTCTCCCTCAAATTAGTCTAGGTATAGGAAGCATTACCTTTTCCTAATCAAAACATTAAAATCACCAATACTTCTAATTATCCTACCCCCAGATGATTTCTCAATCACATATCTCACCACATTAAAATCTCCCCCCAAACACCACCTGGAGCCATATAAACCATAAAGCCCCGCTAACTCTTCCCAAAAATCTTTCCTTAGTCTACTACTATTCGGACCATAAACCCTTGACAACCACCACTCTAATCCATCATTCCTCCTAAAATGAATTGAAAGAATAAACACCCCTCCACCAACCTCTAAGGAAAACACAACCCTCATATCCCACACAATGACCACACCCCCTGATTTACCATATGAAGGCAAAAAGGCACGGTCTTTATATCTAAGTCCCCAAATATTAGACAATTCTTTTATAAAACACCTCCCTCTTAGTCTCTTGTAACACTACAATGTCCAGATCTACCTTTATCACATCCTCCTTAATGGAACTTTTCTTCTTCCTATACCCTAGTCCTTGCACATTCTAGCTTAAGATCTTCATAAGACAACTAACTCCCCCCCTCCAACTCTCTTAGAACAATTGTCCTCATAATTCACCCCTGGTTCTAAATTTCTTAACTCCCTCAAATCACTATTCTTCCTTACTCAACTCCCTTCACTATTTTTCCTTCATTTTTCCCGAATTATGCACTAATGAAATATCCATTTTCACCAGAAGATCTCTCAATCAAACCCAAGTTACTTCATCAAACAAACAATCTCCATCTGCCCCATCTTCACTCCCCAATAACATATGGCAACAATTATTATGAACCTGCTTAGGGATATCAATTTCCAAGTTTCCGTCTCCCACCCCTTCCTCCATTGTCTTTCCTATACCAAAATAACTATTTCCTTCCCAAATCAAGCATCAAAAATCCTCCCCTATGGAATTTCAAGGCCTCTAGCATCATCCTTTATAAATTCATCCTCAAGATTATCAAATTTCAAAGCACAACAACCCGGAGAAGGACCTACACACTCACAATTCTTTGGAAGCACAACCCCAAACTCCCCAGAATTGACAACCTCAAAATTTGATGATTTTTCACGCCAATTACGCCTAAAAGGGACAAGAAAACTTATCAAGACCAGCCAATTACGCTTGAGAAGAATACTTACCTGGCCAATTACGCTTGTGATTGTGGAGGAGTGTGTGCTGTAGGGACTTGTTCAACCATTTGTTGATGAATAATGGATGAAGAGGATAAATCAATATCTACCTTGTTCAAACACTTGTTGATGGGTAACATAACTCCAAATATAGCAACTAGCTTGGTTACACTTTCTTTTAAATTCAATGATGCTTGGAGTGAATGCCCAGCTGCTTAGAGTAAATCCACTCATGCTTGGAATAAATCTATCTGAGCACCACATACCTCAATCCTTGCAAGACTCGGTGTTTGTTAACATCCTGATGGAAAGAGTGTTCTGAGAAACTCCAGGTAATTATGGGGCAAAACTATAATTTCAAAAACTTATATGGTTAATTATGTAACTTCAAAGAATTCTAGAGAAATATTGTAATTTTGAAAACTTATAGTCAACTATGTAATTTAAAAATCTTTGAAGATTAATTTCTAAACTTTATGGGGATAGATATTTAGGGTGTGTTTGGTTTGTATTTTGAAAACAGTTTTTTGTTCTCAAAACACAAAATTTTGTGAGATGCTGTTTGAACAGCAATTTTCAAAAATAATTTTTCAAAAAAAGTGAGAATTCTGAACAAAAATTAGAGAACATCAGTTAGATATTTTTTGAGTTTTCAGGGCAAAATAGAAAACAAGGGAAATAGCCCCTACTCTTTAATGAGATCCACCCATCAAACCTCATTAGCAACAAAACACATTTTTTTCATCGAAGTATAAAAGCCTCCACTTAAGTTTTCTCCATCTCCTCTCTCTCTCTCGTTGTTCTGCTCCAACCGAGTAACAAAGAATGTTTCTGTGTGTGTGTGTGTGTGTGTGCAACGATCGCTGTGTTGCTTCAACTGAGTAACGAAGACCAAAACAACGATCGTTGTTTCAACAGAGTAACAATTACTAGGTCAAGATCTGATTTCAACAATCACTGCGTTCAAGATCTGATTTCAACAATCACTGCGTTCAAGATCTAATTTCAACAATCACTAGGTTCAAGATCTATCTTTTTTNAAGAATGTTTCTGTGTGTGTGTGTGTGTGTGTGCAACGATCGCTGTGTTGCTTCAACTGAGTAACGAAGACCAAAACAACGATCGTTGTTTCAACAGAGTAACAATTACTAGGTCAAGATCTGATTTCAACAATCACTGCGTTCAAGATCTGATTTCAACAATCACTGCGTTCAAGATCTAATTTCAACGATCACTAGGTTCAAGATCTATCTTTTTTTTTCTGCATCTGGGTTCAAGATCTGATTTTAACATCATCTTCAATTTTTTTTTTTGGCATTTGCCTTGAAGGAGATACATACAATGGATCATCTCTTTTTTGTTTTGGCATCTAGCTTGAAGGAGATACAACATCTTTTTCTTCAATTTGTTGTGGACACCGTTTCTTATGTAATTTGGCCATTTGGAGATTTNCCTCAAAATTTGATGATTTTTCACGCCAATTACGCCTAAAAGGGACAAGAAAACTTACCAAGACCAGCCAATTACGCTTGAGAAGAATACTTACCTGGCCAATTACGCTTGTGATTGTGGAGGAGTGTGTGGTGTAGGGACTTGTTCAACCATTTGTTGATGAATAATGGATGAAGAGGATAAATCAATATCTACCTTGTTCAAACACTTGTTGATGGGTAACATAACTCCANTTTTTTTTTTTTGTATTTTATCAAGTTTAATATATTAAAATATTTTATATGAAACTCTCAATCCAAACACGATTTTTGTTTTTTATTTTGTGAAACTGTTTTTAGAATCATCTAACTAAATAAATTTTTTATCTCAGAAACATCAATATAACTTATTTAAAACTCTTCTCAAAAACTATTTTCGAATACTGTTTTTTGAAATGCAAACCAAACATGCCCTTAATTTTTGAAAGTTGTGGGGGTATTGTATGATTGTATAAAAATCAGGGGCCCAAGGAGATTGTTTAATTAGAATTTTTTGACAATTTAGGTTGGGTTGCGGTTAAAGTCAAACAGGCTGGGCCTCTTTTTTTGTATTAGGCTCAATGATTTTGGGCTAGATTTGGGACTGTAAATTGAGTAATGTTCGCTTTAAAGAATCTGGGTCGATCTTAGATGTTGTCTACCCTAGCTACTATTGTAGTGATTTAAGCTAGATTCTCAACTTCTAAAGCAAGCAAAGTGTATATTTATGATGATAATGAGAATAAAATATCCCAAATGAAGAGAATAGATACAATGGATTTGTTCGATAGTGACAGAGAAGTCGTTGTTGAAGAAGACGACGACTATGAATAGCAGTAGCAAACTGGAGAAGTAGCAAGAGGATATGGATCGGAGTTTTGGTCTGATTCCAATTAATACAATACGAAAAGAGGAGGAGAAAAAACAATAAATATCAAACCCTTGCAAGGATTAAGTCAAGAAATATACAAATTCTCCACTGTTCTTCTAATATTACTCTCTATTATAATAATAGGGATTTTATTAATAAGTATAGGTCAAAACAAAAATTACTCTCCTCTAAAATTCAAAAATAGTTTCTTAATCAAACTCTCATTAACTAAAATTTGCTAAAACAAATATCTCCTAAATAATATAATAACTCTAAAATAAGTAATAAAATTCAATTCTTCAATTTAAACTTATGCAATCGCTTTTTGATCCTCCCTATCAATTGAGATAATGGTTTCAGGCATTCTTATTAGTATCATACGATACACGATACGTATCATACGATACATCACGATACACCAAAAAAACGATACGTACTGTGTCTCTGTACGATTTTTGTACCGTATCGTATGACACACAATATGATATGATACGCAAGATACATGACGATTCTATTTTTTATTTTTTTTTATTTTTTGGGATTGAAATAACATCATATTACCCTATGACTTATTTTTAAATCACTAGGTAGTGAAACGTCGTTTTAGTGATTATGGTTTAAAAAAAATAAAATAAAGCCTGTTGTTAATGTTGTTCAATTGAATTCAAAATTCCTAATTCATATTAAGATTATTTAAGTAATTGATGTTAAAAGTTTGAATTAAAAGTCTTTGCATTTTGATAATACTGAACTATGTTGAAAACTTGAATAATTTGTAGAATATTAATGAAATGCAATTTTATTATGAGTCTATGACTTTTTTATTAATAATTATTTAAAAATTAAAATTGCGCGTATCTTACGATACATGATACAATACGATACACTATTTTTTAAAAACGATACACCGATACCCGATTTGACAACTATGGTTTCATGTTTTGAAAGAATGTCCCAATTGGGTGCATTCTTAAACCTACATGAATTCTTGCCCCAAAAAGAAAAAAAATGCTTTACAGAAAAATGGTTTTTTGAGAGAACGAACTTCCTCATTAGGAGGTTCCCCTATTGATATTGAATCACTCTCAAATAGGATGGGTGGGTACAAAAAGACTAATTAGCGAGAGCGTTATTGAAAACTAAAGCAATT